AGAGCTGCTGTCTAGGACACCCGGAGGAGCAGATGGTGGGGGTTAAGGGCTTTACTCAAGGGCCCAGAGTGGGACGAATGAGGGTGGGGGCAGGTGTGGGTGCTTCACCTACCCCACCCACATTTTTGATGTTGTCAGTACCGGGGCTTGAACCGGCGATCTTCCAATCACAGGCCCACCTTCTCTAACCTCTGCTGAGAGGTGGTGAGGGACTACAGTATTGTACTGAATTGTATCTTAAATAAATGACAAAATAATAAAATTACATTAAAATTACAGATGTCATAATTAAATAATATTTGATGATCTTTATTGTGTTTTGTTATGCACATGACCCACACTCACACTCACACCCCTGCTGCGGGTCCGTAGTAAAACAGTCTTGGATAAAACGGGTCTTCAGGGGACCCCTGATCTAGCACATAGCTGCATCCTGACAGTCAGAGAGCTGAACCTGGGTAGGTGTATGAACAATTGGCATGAGTACGGGAGAGCAGGTGGACACAGAAAGTAGCAAATAAAAACCTTTTCAACCAGTAATAAAACCAGAACAGCATCATGTCTTTATATTAGCAAATGTTCTGTGATCCAGCTTTGTTCCAATAGGTCTGAGAGAGTGTGGTGAAGACTTCAATCAAAATGAAGAGGACTAATGATACATTTATGAGACAAACAAAATATACTAAAATGTTCAAAGAAAGAATATTGACACTTTTTGAATGTAACTCCTTTGGAGGTGTTAATCTGGAGTCGGATCCTTGTGGCTGTCAGTGGTTTCACCAGTGACTTCAGATAACCACTGTATTTTTCGGCCTATAAGTCGCGTTTTTTTGCATAATTTGCATGCCCTGCAACTTATACGCTGTAGCAACTTATTTACGTATTTTTTCCCATATTTATAAACCAACTTTTAGCTGAGATATGACCGTTTTCATTCATCCAGACTGAAAATATTGAACACAACCATTTTCAGCTGCTAGATGGCACTCGAGTGTATGGCATGCGGTTGTGTCATGTAATAGGTAAAAAGTGGCTATTAATGACACAATCGGCTTGCCACAGCCTGCCACCTTCGTCCAGCTCACCTGGAGCTACTGTCAAATCAGCTTCATTTCGCCCCCAGTGAAATGCAGTTAATTTGACCATTGAAGTGCATTTATTAAATAAATGTTCAACTGAGACACACCTTTACTATAATGTCGAGCAAACAAATAATTGTGTTAGGTGCTTATCTTGTAAAATTTTGCAGAAATGCGCAGCGAGTCACCCTCTGCACGTTCCGATTTCCGCATATCGGCTTTTGAAAATGCAGCTGATTTGACCGTCAGTGCATTTATTAAGGAAAAGTTAGACTGAGACACACCTTTGCTATAATTTCGAGCAAACATATAATTGTTGTTAAATGTTAATCTTCTTAAATTCTTGTTAAAGTCCTCCCGTGCACGATCCCACAGCTGCCATTTGGCAGCCAATCAATTTTTGGCACAACACCGGCTCACATTTCCAGGTTGTCTACGATGACGCGCAATAAATGCGATGTATACGGCGAAGCGACATACTTATGTATTTTTTCCACTTTATTAGTCATACTTGGACTGATGCG